CCAGATCCTGCCTTCTTAATCCCAAGGAGGGCAGGAGGGGCTGGGCTGACCATTATGGTGGAGCAGATTCGGGTCCTGGAAACACACAGGCCCTGCCAATCATTCTACCTTGGGGCTCGGATTGAATTTTGTGTTTAGAATTCAAATGATCTCATGCCAGTCTCATTCTCAAAATCTCTTCATGGCTCCCAAGTAAACTGACAATGAAGTTCACACATCTTCCATGGCCAAAAGGTGCCATGCCCTTCTGTTCTCTGCCTTGCTCTTCACTGGGGCTGTTGCAGTCAGGGTCTATGGATGAGGTGCCTCTGAAGTGTTGGTTTCTCTCTAAGTGATCATCCTACTAGTTTCTGTTCAAGTTCAAGGTCACTTATTGACAAAGATCTCCCTTATGCCTCAATCTACTTCTATCCCCATAACAGACAACAGTGATTAGCGGAAGTGTTAAATAATACTAGGTGCCAGATAGAGTTGTAAATGATTTACATATAAGGACTCATTTAAACGTTACTGTAGCTCTAATAGATTTTAGCATGGTTCCTACTTTCACATGGAAAAAACTTGGAGTAAAGTCATGGCATCGTGTACCTTCCTTCACTGCAGTTATCAAATGGCAGTGGTGCATATATTCAGGAAGTGTGTGCTGGACTGTCAACAACAGGGCAGGGTCTACTGCAGCAGTCTGTGGGTGGGGACAATGTGGCCAGGCCCAAGAGGAGAGAACACAGGCTTTCTTTAAAAAAAAAAAAAAAAAAACTTTGTTTTCATCATTTTAAAATGAATGTGTATATGTGCTTGACTGTCTGTGTGTATGTCCATGTGAATTCAGGTGCCCTGAACTCCAGAAGAGGGCTTTGGAATCTTTGGAGCTAGAGGTACAGGCCCTTTGCAAGAGGAGTACCTGCTTCCAACTGCTGAGCCAGTCCCCACCCTTTAAAAGCAGATGTTATTTTTGTTATGTTTTAATTACGTATAAATGTGTGAGTATTTATGTGTGAATTCAGGGATCATGGGCTGCCAAGACACAAAGATCTAGATTTCAGTTCTGACTTAACACTTGTCAACTTGCTATCTTGAGTAAGCCCAGGCTCTCCCCCAAGCTCTCCTCTCAACCCGTGAGTAACAATACCTTAAAAAAAAATAGGTGGTAGATAACAGATCCAGAGCATACAGCATAGTGCCACACTAGGAATAGTCCTTACCAGCTCCTTTCCTCTCTTGCTGTGAGAGACAGGCATGTGTGGCTTTGGAAATTTCTCATGCTAGCTAGACTCCAGACCCTGGAAATGTGAAGACCAGGGTATAATTGGGGATCAGAGACAGCCAACAGAATCTGTTGTGGCTGCCTCTGCTGGTTAAATGAGTCAGATGACCACCATGGCCTCAGTTCACTTCGTAGACGTAGCGAAGGAGGGAATAGGAAATGTACACAGAACTCCGTCACTCTTGGTCCTTGTCAACAGCTCTGGCTGGGAGGAAGTCAAGACAATAAACTTGGATCCAGTGAGCTCTGTTGCCTGTTCTCTATTTCAAGGGGACAGTCTCTGCCTTGTTTCTCTTTTCTCCAGTGAGACACTTCCCTGAAATGCTCCGGACTTCTCAGAAACAGTACACAGGGATCAGCAGCAAGGCAGAACCCATCCTGGCCCCAGGATCACGCTCTTTCTGGATTTGGGAGCAGAAAGGGACACTTAGAAGGCCCCCTTCCTTCCTTTGTTTTCTCCTAGCATTTTTTCCCTTTCATCTTTGTGCAGGCTGAGTTTGACTTACCCTGTGGAGAGGAGAAGGGAGGTAGGGTATGGTATGCCTGGGGGTGCTTTCCCTGTCCCAGCAGCAAGTGAAGGGGCTTGCTGTGTTTGTAGAAGAAACCACCACCTTCCCCTGTGCTGTGTCTGTTGTGAGATTATTCTTGTCTACAAAGGGCAGCTCTGAGCTAGCTTCAATTTCTACTCCCTGCTTAGCTGCCTGGGCTGGAAAAACCTGTGCCCAGAAAGGTGTGTATCAACCCTCGAGGCTGGATTTAAACACAGTTGCAGTGAGCTGTCTCACAAAGTGACAACCTCATGGATTTATGCAAGGGAATGCTCAGATAACTAAGGTCTGGCTTATCAGAATCCACAGCCATTTGCCATTCTTGGCAGTTCGGTTTTTAGGGTAATAGTCAGACTCGATATCCTGTCGTGTTTTGTACTAGCACATTCTCCCCACTGCTCCTCATCTTTCTAATATATGCCTTAGAGAACCTTGTCTTCAACGCCAGCTCTATTTCTACATCACCAGATTTTTTTATGGGAAGAAGAGGAATATGTTTGAAACTAAGAAAGCTTTCCTTTGGGTCATACAGCATTCTCATTATCTTCAGGAGACATATTTCAAGACCCTAGGACATGCCAAAAACTGCAGGTCATGCTGAATGGCCCTGCCTGCATGGGCTGTTTGTTCTTACGCACATATACCTGTGATGAAGTTTCATTTATAAGTTAGGCACAGTCGGAGATCAGCAGCAGCGAACAACAAAGCAGAACAGTTACTGTAGTTAAGTGAAGATGGGATTACTTGAAGACAGGCATTATGATAGATAGCACCGTATCCAGTCTCGCAACTCAGGTAACTGAGGAACTAACGGGCAGGTGGATTGTACAGCATGGATCTGCTGAGTGAACTGATGAGTCATCTGGGCGGGATGGATCCGGATGATACACAATTTCATCATGATATTCAGAAGGGCATGTGACTGAAAACTTACAAATTCCCCTCTCCGTGGAATTTTCAGTTTATTACTTTTGGATCAGGTTGACCAAGGATAACTGAAACCTTCAAAATCGAAACTGCAGATAAGGGGGAGAGGGTTACTGTATTAGTGTGGATGGGAAGTCAACCAGAACGTTTCAAGAGTGCTTTCTGTTCAGGTTCCCTACTGATACCAGAAGTCCTGGATCCTTAGCTCTCACATGTGGACCATCTGCTATGAGCTAGGTGCCAGAGAGGCATGCTAAGGTCCCACGATACACGTTAAAGATTGTAATTCTGGCATTTTCTCATTGTTTTACCTGTATCAAGTCATTTACTCCTTATAAGTAGCTAACAGGGCATGCACACTTTGCATTCTAATCAGAAGGTAGGGCAACCAAGACACAGTGAGATTAAGTAACTTGTCCCAAGGTCCCAAGGTAGTAGAGGTAGAATTTGGAATGGTACTCTAGCTCACTCATAACTGTTCCACATAGTCCTTTTTATTTATTCTAACCACCATCTTATGAGATAGAAAATTAAAGTGCCCATTTTCCAGATAAGAAAACCAAGTAGAGAATAATTTGTCTGGGAGACTGATCCAAATTTCTGACTCAGTTCATCTTGATCTGTTATTAAGTACCTATTTTGTGCCAGGCACTGTGGTGGCACTGAGCTACTTCTATGGTTTAGCATGATAAGCTCCATGTGTTCAGTCATTTTGTTTCTTTCTATTTCTTCTAACTTCGTTACTTCTCTTCAAAGTGATAGAACAGAATTCACTTCATGTGCCTTGAACGTCACATGCAATCTAGGTTAGCCAGGGATGTCAGCACTGTGTACATGTCCCAAGAGCCAGCAGAGAGTTAGGCAAGCCTGAACAAAGCCAAGAAAGCAACTCAGCTCCTCCAATATTTTGGATTCAAGCTTGGGCAATCATTCACTGCTATTTTTTTTTCATTCCATAGACATTTATTGGGCATCTGTTATGTTTTACATTCTTAGTTGGGAGCATAAAACAAGAGGATTAATATATGAATTTGAGATGCTCATGGTTTAGTAGGGAAGAAAACAAGATAATTCAAGCACTATTCTGAGACTTTGAGATACTAATTAAGAGTTTTTGAGACAATAACTGAATAGGACCTGATAGGGGCACATTCTAAAGATGACAGATAAGTAGGATCTTAAAGGATAAAGATGCATGTTTCAAATGGAGATGGATAAATTATGTGGTGTTTTTCTAAACACATACTATACACTAGGCCTTAGGACAAAGCTACACATTGATTTGAATCGTCACTCCAGAATCCAAGAAGCAGAAAACATATGCAGACTCGGGAGAAGAGTCAGTGTGGAGAGTCAGGAGGCAGGAGGCTGGCATATTTAGCTCACACAACCAAGCAAGGTAGGAGGGAGGCAATGAATAAGACCAGGACAGAGAAGGAATTGGGAGCAGAGTTCTGAGGACCAACAAGCCTGGTAAGAAGCCTGGATCTTAAGGACCAAGAAGACCCAAATCAGGAAAACAGCCAAAGAACAAACATGCACACAGACACACAGACACGCACACGCGCGCGCACACACACACACACACACACACACACACACACACACACACACACACACACACACCACCCCAAAACAAGATGAAATAACAATAAAACAACCTATAACTGGGTTTAGAAGAAGCATTGTAGAACCCAGAAAGAAGGCTGGGTTCAAATGGGCAAAGACTGTAGACAAACCAAACCACTTTGGAAGGTCACCATAATGTTTTGGGTGCAGGACAATAAAGTCCTTTACTACAGGAAAGAAGGGAAGACTAGAGAAATGACTAAGAATCTGGCTGTCCTGGGTGATGAGAGATAAATGGGTGAGGGTGACAGTGTTCTCCCAAACGACATGAAAAAGGGACAGGGCAGGAAGGACATTGTCGCTGGGTCTCCAGATTTATCAAGTGGGGTTACCAAAAGTTGCAATTGTCTAGTATGTCTATACACCCCTAGTAATGAATAAAGGAAGGTGACAGTCCATGGAGTGGGGGGACAAGGATTGAAGTGAGAAATGGACTCTACAGCCTGCATGGTAGAGGATGGGAGCCAGATCTGAAGAGACAGTGAAAGCAGTTTTCTGGCTCCGAGCCTCGGTGGTACAAGAGTCCAGGTGTGGGGTGAGTCTTTGGCAGTCATTCCAACTGCAGCTCAGGTAAACAGAGCCATGAGGCATTCCCAGGAAGAGGCAGCTGTGCCCTGAAGGGTTTTCTCTGACAGACCTGGAAGCTGCATGACCAGGCTTGAGGCAGGCAGCAGCTGGGGTTTGGGAGGACACAGGCACGTGGATAGCCTCCTGTGGGTGCCTTGCTGCAGATGAGGCAGCCATGAGAAACAGTTTGTCTTTCCAGCCGCCTCCTCCACCCTTTGCTACAGAGCCTCCATGCCACAGCACGGTGCCAGCTGCAGAAAGATTGATTCATAGGTGAGGGCTGCGGCTTTGAGCCACGCAGAGGCAGCAGCAAATGGCAGTGTGTGTGTGTGTGTGTGTGTGTGTGTGTGTGTGTGTGTGTGTGTGTGTGTGTGAAGAAAACTTTGTTTAAGGGTCCATACATTAAACACAACCTCAGTAGCAGACAATAGTGATTTGCCTAGACACTATATGCTACTGAATTAACGTCAAGATGGGCTAAACAGAGCAAGAGGAGAGACTCCTTTTTCAAAGTGGAGTACCTTCCTCTATGGTCTCAATTACAGGAGATACTTTTGTGTACAAAACATTTAGGCAACAATATCTGGGTGTCTTTTGGAGTCTACTGTAACCAAAGAGAAAGAAAGGCCGGAACTAAAATGCCAAGAACAAAAAGAAACTGTTTGGAGACAGGTCGGCTACAGTGTAAACTTTTCGTTTTCTCTCATAGCAAAACCTGATGGTTGTCTTTGAAAAAAAAAGTGTCTGTATCTAGGTCCCTGGCAGTGATTTGCCTCTGGGAGGGCCAGCAATCTATTTAATGACTCCATTGACGTCAATCGCATAACTGAAATACTTACTAACATGCATGATTCCAGCTTTCAGGGGGAGGGGGTGGATGGCGTCTCTCAGCAGTGCGAAAACATGATATGGAATCATGAGGAACGGACTTGGCTCTTTCTGCAAGTACTGAGGGACTAGATGCTGCTGGTCCCCCAGATCTCATTTAATATGAGAAAAAGTTTTCCTGCTAAATGAAGAAATTAATTCTGAACAAGTCAAAGCGGCCATTAATAAGAAAGACATTATTTTTGGCTGTGTTTGCTCAAGGGAAACATTTTAACCATTCACACTTTAGCTGACACACTAATGATTTTGTAGTTACCCATACTTAATTTTAGACATATATGAAATAATTGCAAATCAATGAAGACAGCTCAGTGTTTGTGTTCTGGGGTAAACTTTTACAGGATGTCTATTTTAGACAAAGGAGGTTCTTTCGAACTGTTTAGGGAACTATACTGAGAATTGCCCAGCTTTTCTTGTGTAGTTCTATTCTGCGATTTCATTTTGTATGCAGGCTCTTTACACATTCACAGTGTGTAATTACACAGATTGTCCCAGTAATTCAGGTCACACACATCGTTCTGAACACTGAAGAAAATGTCTGTCATTTTTATTTTCCCCTTTTCTTTTTGTGATTTCCTCCAGGATCTCCTTTATCCTGAGTGGTCAGAACCTTTGATACGATGATTGATCTTATTTCTGTTCGCTCATGCTGTAATCCTGCCTGGTGCTTCTTGCTTAATGTAGAAACCAAGCAAAGGTTCGGCTTGTGCTAACCTTTTTTTCTAGTCATCTGACATGGATCGGATCGGCTTTCAAGCCATAGTTGTCCTCAGAAGGCCTCAGAGGGACCTCTGCCTGTCCACACCAGTCCCTCTCTCATCCTAGACCCAGGGAGTTTTAGCAAAGCCTTGACTTTCCATGTGTTGTTCAGGTTCAGAGAGAGTGTACTCAGCCTCTGCTCTACTTCTTAAACAAAATGTACATCTGGCACATCTATGGAGATCTCAGAAACAGTCAAAACCAAGTGAAGACCCATGAGGAGTCATGTGGAGAAATGGGTTTCCTGAGAGGAGGCCTCTTCTTCGCTTTATCAGCTGGTAGCATCATCCCTTCCAGTGTGGCCCAGAAGCCTATGAGAAGACATGGGCTCCCCGGAGCCTGGGAAGAACCCTAATTAAGGCTGTTGCTTGGAGAGGTCAGCACATTTCACGCTTTACTGGAAGACTTACGCTTCCTCATCCTATTTCTCCAAATACATTCTTTCCTTGAAATATATTTTAATTGACTCCTGTTGAAAATCACCACAGTTAATGCTGCAGACATTCAAGCTGAGACAGACGCTGTGTCTGCAGCAGTCTGGCCTGGAGACCTCCAGGCAGTTAGTTCCTGCGTTATCTCGTCTGCATGGTTGGTTGCCATTTCGGATGATCCATCAACTTCTGGGTTACTTTAAAAATATAAGGTCTGTTACAAGTGGTGATCTTCACGATTTGTACTGCCACTGGGACATTTCAGAAAAAAATATTATCATAGGGCACCCTACTTCACACATCCCTCTGGCTGTTACAAAATTCTATATATGATACATCTTGTTGTAAATCGAGTCATTTATGTGACTCAGAAGTGAGAGTTACTAAGAGCAATACTTCTCTGATCCTTTTGTGTAGAAAAAAACTCTTCTGCAAAGGCAGTGGCCACTTGGTAATTTATTTTCTCAGTAGGTTCTTTAATTGTCGACATAGTCAAAAGCATGGATGAGATGCATGAAAGAGCATAGGACAGAGGGTGTGGGGACAGTGGGACAGCTGTCACATAATCACATGTATGAATACAAACGGAAGCATCTTTTCAATTATCTCATTTGTTTACAATCTTCCATTTTGAATATGACCAGGTGAAAGAACTCGGGTTCCTGCCTTGCTTTAGACTTTTCATTCTTGTATTCATTTTCCCCGTTTTGTTTCAAGGCTATACAGAAAGAGCCAAGAATTCACGCATTCAAAAGAAAGTAATTATGTGATACAAGTTGAGCTGCCCATGAACCTCAGCCTTAGGATTTTCAACACACTCAAGAGGATTTCCTGTGACCTCCCAAACCTGTGTGCACAGGCATCAGAACTGCTCATTCTGGGCTCATCCCTCCATTATTATATGGTGGGTGGCTTTCCCACATCATTGGCAAAATGTCACCTTCTTAGGCATTACCCTTTCTAACCTGCACCTTCACCCCAATACCTTCTAATTTCAACACAGTAAGTGATACAGCTTATGAGAAAAAAGAAAAAAAAAACAGAAGTGAATACTTTCCCTAGACAGAGAGATATTGGCTCATTATTACCTTTATGAGACCATTCCTTGAAATAAAGTCTAACTTGTATGTAGTTCTGGCTAGTTTGACATTTACCCTGTTCCTGCCATGCAGAAATAATTTACCACACTGTGACCTCCAAGAAATGAGAAAGGTGCAGCCTCTGCCTTCAGGAGCTTGGGTTCCAGTGGAAGAGATGCACCACTGAGAAATCAGAGCACATCCCCAATTAGATTGTTGCCATAGCACGGAACAGGAGCAATTATGAAAAATAAAAAAAGACTGAGCTTTTCTGTTGAGCTCCAAGAGCTGAGAATCACCTTGGTCCAACAGTGGGAGGGAAGGGGTCTCAGACCGAGGGATTGCCTCACCCAGAGTTCCAGTTGTTCAGTAACAATCATAGTCCGTGTGGGAATCTCACCTGGATTTGGAGAATTCACTTTTACAGAGAATCACATTTCATTGATATGAATGAAGAAGCGGCAGAAGAAGAAGAGAAGGAGGAAAGAGAGGAGGAAGAAAGGGCAGGGGGGAGAAAAGGAAGGGGAGGGGAGAATGAGGAGGAGGAAGAAGCTGCAGAGGAGCCATCTTCTAAATTCTGGCTTCTCCTACTTGCTTCCATACAATCGAAGTCAGTCAGGCTTTGCTGACACAATACACTGTTGCTGGATGTGTTCAGGCAATCATCTTGTACTTCATAAACCTTATATAGCTATCAAAATATATCAGTTCAAATTCAGCACTTCTTAATAAATGCCCCGATTTTCTTTTTATGAAAACTTAATGTTTTAAAGCACATTCCAGTGCACCATGCTGTTTGCTCGGAGCCATGGATTTTTCATTCCACTTTCGAGCTTCTATTTAAACACACCTCTTTGTCATATGCTGATAAATATTAAAATAACAGGAAAAATCTGCCCGACTTATTTAAGCTGATAATAAGAACAAAACACGGGATGTGTGTCTCCTCCCTCCTCTCCTAACTGTGGTTAACCGTTGAGAAGATTTTGAAACCAGCAATTATGTAATAATTGGTACCACCACACTCTCTTCCTGAAGAAAACCCAGGACTGATGTAGTTTGCCACAAAGACAGACAAAAACAAATTGCCGTAAGTGGTATTGTCGCTTCTTTGCTCCATTGTTTCAAAAGCATTTAAGAAAAGCTCCCGTTGCCAAGCTGGAGCCAATGTGCCAATAATCATAAAGCATCTTTCAAACATTGTTTCAGCTAATGAGTTAATTTATAGACCCGTAAGCACCATATACCCTCCTGGTATATGTCTGTATTTATTACAAGAGAAAGGAAATGTACTCTAAATACGCAAACTGGTGTCAGGAGCATGTTGGTGGAATTGGCAAACAAAACCAGCAAGGATGCCTCATGCGTAGGCCAATGAGATGAAACAACAGCCGGTTCAGAACAGCTCCTTTGATCTCCCAGCATCCAGCACAGCCACACACTAAGACACTGCTCCGTTTCTTTTTATACCTAACGGAAGTGGCCCATCAGCATGCTGAGGTTTTGAAGTCTGTGGGCAAAACACTGTTTACTTCTTTCTAGTTCATATCACAGGGCTCTGGTGTATATCCACCTTCCTTCATGTCTTTCTTTCATTTTTTTTTGTTCTCCATTTTTTTCTTCTAAAAGTTTTAAAAGCATATACCATAAATACTTCAGAAGCCAATGAGCAAATGGAGTCCACTGCCTTTGTTCCTTTGTTCAGAAGTTAGTCATTTATAACACTTCTGAGATACTTAGGGTCATCATAGTAGAAGAGTACCACATCCAAAGGGGAAGAAGCTGAGTATTGGGGTTGGGGGGGGACGGGGGACTAGCACTGTTAGATGTCAGGTGACCATGGTGAGTGCATCTTAGTTTTTCATAGCGCTTTGCTACACTCCCCTGCTATAAGAGTGAGGTGGGTTTAAGGGAGCAGAACTCAATGGACTTCAAAGCAGTCACCTGAGTGGTTGCACATGCTGTGTGACAAATACACATACAAGGGCGTTCCTTCATGGTAGCCTTTCCTCTCAGCAGATTTCAATACAAGAAGAGCAGATGCACAATATTGAAAGACAAGAGGAGCAAAGATGGATGACCTCTGAGAGAAATGCTTTGTGACCTGGAAAGCACCTTTGGTTTCACTACCTGGCCAGGGTGCAGAGCAACTTGTAGTTATGGATGATGCAAGGCGGGAAACCATTCATGAGCCTTGGGGATCTTGGGCTCACGTAGGCACCCTGTGGGGGAATGTTTGAGGTTAGCACTCCTGGAGTTCACTGGGGTCAGCAAGCTGAGGTCAAGTTGCACTGTTGACATAGGTTTTCTCCCTTCTCTCCTGGAAACAGCAGGGCCACACATTGAATTGCAAAGGCCTAGGCACGCACTTTGGAAGTATTTTTAGTTTGGCTTCACTTTGGGTAAAGATCAAATACATCTTTGAAACAAGTCACCAAGAGGCATCCCAGTTACAGTGTGCATATAAATGTAGTTTTGAATAAGAAACACATTTATTGCTTGGGAAGATGGAGATATGTCTCCTGGCTTACCTTGCAGGCTGACTCTGGAGACTGGAGCCTGACTAGCAGCTGGCGACCTCCTGTGGAAAAGCAGAAAAGGAGGTTGAGTATGCATTGACAAGCCCCCCACCCTTCCATGATTCCTGATTCCTGAGGAGATTTCCAGGGCATAGTGAGTAATCCAGTGACATAAGGCTATCTCCGGAAGGCAGGCTCCAGGAACGTGGGTAGGTGATTGCAATTCCCTCACATCCAGATGGCCTGGAATTTCCCTCAGCACAGCATCAGGATGCTACAGCTTGCCAGGGAGGAAGTTGTTTACCTCAGGTCCCTTGGCAGCCCCTCTACTTCAGGTTTTCTATCATGGGAGTCTCTCAGAAAAGTAGACACTTGCTTAGGCCTCACTCCATTTATCAGCATGAATCCCAATTCTTTGAGGACAGAAAGACACAGCCAGAGGAACTCTTAGAGAGTTATCAGTTCAGGACTCACACTTGTTTCACCTCAGGAAACTAAGATGTTTAAGAGGACAAATCATTTGCCAAATGCCATGCACAGTAACTAGCTGCAGTGATCCAGGTTTCTTAATAGAGGCACTGGCTTTTCACAGAGGAAGGAGGGTTTCATTCTTCATCAAATCCTTACACCAAGAGGCAAGTGAAACAAACAAACACTTATTCCATTAATAGTGCAACTTTCTGTTTGCGTGTGTATCTATGTGTGCACAGGTGTGTGCATGTGTGCTTGTCCATTTATGTAGGAGTGGGTGGAGGCCAGAGATGAAGTCAAAATGTTTTCCCCAAATACTTCTCCATCTAGTTTTTGAGACAGGGTCTCTCACTGAAGAAGGAACTTGTCTTTCTGGCTAGGCTGACTGACCAGCAAGTCTCTGTCCCTCAGAGTTAGAGCTACAGGAACGTGCCATCATGCAGACTTTTCTTCCTAGATTCTCTCTTTTCTTTGCCTGACATTCCCTGGCCCTTTGCTGGTCTAATCATCCTTCTGGTGATTTTCAGAATTTCTCTGTTACACTCTCCCAGATTCCCAGTATATTGCTGGAGTCTCCTTGTAAAGGGATAGAGCAGCGATCTCAAATTCCAGAATACTCTGCAAGGCATATTAGAATATTTTGCTCTAGCCTGTTTCTGGTATTCTGATTTAACAGACCTAAAGCAGTCCTGCCTCTGGGGTCCCATGCAATGGCCTGCAGTCAGCTCTGCTCCAGGGTCCTATTCAGTGGCCTGCAGTCAGCCCTGCCTCTGAGATTCTATTGCAGTGGTCTGCAGTCAGTTTTGCCTCCGGAGTCGCATGCAGTGACTTGCAGTCAGTCCTGCCTCTGGGGTTCTAATGCAGTAGTCTGCAGTCAGCCTTGCCTCTGGGGTTCTAATGCAGTCAGCCCTGCCTTTGGGTCCCATGCAGAGGTCTGCAGTAGACAGATGGGCCTGTATTTCTGACAGGCTTCCAGATGCTGTTGACACTGATGGTCTCACACAGAAGCCCCTTCAGTAGACCTGATAGCAAGAGTTTGCCCCAACTGAGGAACAACAGGATGTTGCTGATGATCAAGAAAGAGATTTAGGCCAAGTATTTCTGGGTGTAACTGTCCTGACATTAGTGAAGATACCCTAGAGAGAGACACTTGTGGCCCTCCTTTTGGTTATCAGATGTACTAAGACAATTGACCCTAAGAAATTGGAATTTCCTCAGGGGGTTCATGCTGGAAGAGAGAGAAGACTGAGCCAACCAGAGAGTGAGCTTGTCTCTCTGAAAAGATCCACACAGTGCTGAGAACTGGTCAGACCACCTTACAAGACAGAGTCAGAGCTGAGATGATGATTGTGGATCAGTCATGGGCGGGACCACAACTTGACTAGAGCTAGTTAGTTATGGGCACCTCTTGCCTTCTATTTAAATCTATTATTCCAGTGAGGAGCCTGAAGATAGGCTTGTGTATATATGAGGGAGGAGGGTGAGAGTGAACTGTTTTATTTCTCTTCCCAGTGTTGTGACATTGAATAAATCTCCTTTTTCTGCTTTTTATTATCATTTGTCTCTTTAACTGGTGTGTTATGGATGGGTAGCATGCTACTCACCCTGGGCCCAGGCTTTGATGCTAACAAGCTCTGGTAACACAAATGAACATCAGACTCATTTGGGGGAGGTGTTTAATAAATACTTTTCCCATCTCGGAAGAATCAGTTTTCATAGGTCTAGTGCAGGCCCTAGGGATCTGCATTTGAAAGTCCTCTTTGCATTCCTATGCACAGGCAGGTGGTCTGAGGGAGAGGCCGAATTCTAAGTGATGGAGAAAGGCATGCAAGGCTGTTGCTGAGGAAGCCTCTGCCTATTGGTCAGCCACGGTAGTGACTTTTATTCCAGCCATCACATTCCCCTGGGGATAAAAGAACTTATATGTAGCTCTTTTTCTATAGCTGCAAGTCCATGGACCGAGTCCACAGCCACCGTACTAACAGACCGACAGGATGAGCCTGTGTGACTGGGTGGGCAAATCCTCATGCCATGATTGCTATTCTCTGCTGGATACTGTGCTTGCCGTTTCTCAGCTTCTTCTCCTGGGAGTGTTATCATTTTGCTTTAGGGATCAGGAGATGAAGACACACACTACAGCACACGCAGTGATTTCTAACTGGCCGGGCAGGATTCAAAGCCAAGTATTTCTGAACTGGAAATGCTAGCTCCTTTCTCTATACCATTTGCTGAGCACTTCCGTGCTACTACCAAGGGCTGTTTTTTGTTTTGTTTTGCAGGAAAGTTGAAGGATTTGATTCCAAACTCCTCAGCCCGGGGTGCAAAGCCTTTTGCATTCCATCCTCATCATACCTCTCTAGATTAGGGCTAGACCACCTCTCTGTCTGACAGTGCATCTCAGACCACAGACTGGCTGTGTGCTCTCATGTATTTCATACTTCTCCCTTGTCAAACTCTACAATTGTAATTAAAACTGTCTAATTAGGGTTTGATATAGAACTCCCTAGATTAAAGGTAAACCTTATGTAGGCAAGGGAAGACTTGTTCACTACTGGGTCCTAGGATAGTCCCCGAGAAAGTCTTTATACGCCAACTACTCAGTGACACTTATTGAGGGGAATGCCGGATGAACACATGCATGAAAAATTGATGTACACTTTGCTCAGGCCAAAGTTGGTTTCTTCTTTTGCTTTGACCTCATCCTGCTCCTTTCTTGCTGATGCTCAGGCCATTCTTCTGTTGGAGAAACTCTCCCCGTACTAAATATCACCTACCTCTGAAGATTACAAATCTCCTTCAAAATGAAACTATATTCTTAATTGAAAATGGTCCATCATGATGCCGTGGTGCTCTGTCTATACCAGAGGTTCATTTTCTAACGTGATGATTCATATGTGCAAACATTATCTCCACCACGGACTCCATGACCTGCTTACATTAGGATCCTGTCTGACCTCTTTTTCTTTTTGAATCTTTTGTAGGACCCAACAACTTCCTGGCAAGCAGTAGGAATTCCCAAACTACTGGCGGACTATTTATTGACTGAACCGGCCATCGATAAGGAAATATTATGAAGATGCCAACACACTACCTGGATGTCTCGGCTTGCATCTGTTCATATGCAGTCTTGGTTCCTGGGCTGCCCACAATGCGTGCTTTATCATATTGCTGTGGTGGCTTTGTTGACATCTGGCTCAGTGGCTAACTCATCAGCGTCACTTGGGACTGTGCTCAGGCAGTCCTGCACACACTCTGCTGTGAGTGGTCCCCGCCTGCACTATGTAGTTCCCTACACTTCATTATCATACTGTAATGCCACCCCATCTGCCCCGCTCGCTCTTCAGCACAATGATAAGGAATGCAGGGAAAGACTGAGTCTCATCCCTAGTCTCAGCCCTGCAGTCTGGCATGGCATTTGAGTGATGCACATTTCACTGCATACCCAATGGGTTCACAGGACAACTGGACTCTGAATCTTGCATATCTTCCAGAGTTCTCTGGGAGGCTTTTGTGAAAGGAGACTGTGAACTAGGTCTTCTTAAGATGTCAGAAATATCTACTTTCTTAGTAGCCTGGCTACTCATATTATGCAATTCTTTCCGTAATTTCTTGGAAATTACACATAATGTAAATTCTTTTGTCTTGGAAGTTATTTTGGGAAAGTATGGCCTTTACTGAAAGTTGTTGGTTCAGATAAACATCTCTGTGTAGGAGAAAAAGCAAGGGCCATGCTTATTCGGCTTTATGACTTCTCTTGATAAGTGGTCCAAAAAGGAGGCCCAGTACACTTTAATGAATGGATGGCTTCCGGAAACCACATTATTGTTGGTAAAACAGGAGACTGCCAGCCAGAAAACTGATGGGCTCAGGGGAGAACAATCTCTGCTGCCAGGTTTCCCTCAGTTTCTAACTTATGAAAGAATGGGAGGAAGTTCTTTACCTGGCTTCTGAAGATGTTGACAGGGATAGGGAAGGTGACTTGGCTGCAGTAGTTCATGCTTTCCAGCCTGAATTGTGTAGTGGAGAGGGAACTGGGCTGCAGTACAATCAGGAATCCTCCCAGTCCTGACGCTGGCACCTTCCACTTATGTAGTCCCTGGCAGCTCACCCAACCTCAGTTTCTTTCTTACTTGGGGAAAGCAGGCAGCAGCCACTACTTCCTGATGATTTACAGTGTGTGAGGTCTTGTATGAGGGGCTCCCATATATTTCCTCACTTACTTGGAGGAAATTTGGCTAGGTATTTTCCATATCTAAGTGTTCAAGATTTTATGATTCTCAGCTAATTTAAACCCCATGCCAAAATATATAAAGCGCTGAAAGACATTCCAGATATACACTAAAGAAGATGGTTATTAATGTTTTTTAAAGAATATGTACCTTCTAATCGAATTATGCCTTTGAAGAATTGCGAATGCAAAGATGACATGGTTCTCTGGTTGTCACACCTATCAGTGATTGTTGACGGATGATGGAGGCAGACATCTCGGTTACTGAGTGGTGAGTACTCTCAACATCACATTGGTCTTTTGGAAGCCATCAAGTGCTTCGGGGAAATGTTTCTGAATTAACAACCCCAAATGAAAGCTACAGTTTTCAAAATTAACTCCTGGGACAACGGAAGTGTAGGTTTTAATTTGCAGCCAAGAAATACAGGCCTGATCCCCCATTTCATTAAGGTGCAAGGAAACCTCCTCAGCAGAAACTTTAAGATTTTCACCCTTTGGGTGGCAAAGCTCCGGCAGACAATGGGCTGCTTTATCCAGAGCAAAGAGCCAAAAGATAAAAGAAACCATAACTTAGGAGAAGTATAGTTCTATGTGGGAGTTCCTTTTCACATCATAAACCACGCTAGCCAGATGTCTCATGAAAACCACTCCAAGGACATAATTACTGCTTAAATGCTACATTCAAGACAGGGAGTGGCACCCTGGAACCCACGTTAAATATCCCAGAAAGCAACTTCTAAATTCCATGGATCTTACAGCTTCAATTGTTAACATAAGCTAATGTATGTGGGTGGGATGGGGGATGCGCTCTGTAGGCCATGTGCACCCCTGGTAGACAATCTCACCTTCACTTCCTTCTCTTATTTGTTGATGGGTACTGGTTACCTAGCAGTACAGTGAAAGTGTATCAATGGACCCTCAACTCTCCAACCTACCACTGCCATGCTGCTCCATTTGTGGCTTAAATTAACCCAACACTCAGGTCTTAGGCAGAGCTACACAGAGGCACTGCTCTTCTTGGGGAAGCTCTTGGGAATCTGCCTTTTCTTAAATTTTTGTCCCCTGATGTTGATTATAAAGAGATACTTGAAATAACCAAGCTGGGCATAGTAGCTTACACTTATATCTTCAGTGCTTCAGAGGCTGAGAAAGAAGGATTGCCATGAGTTTGAGACCAGCCTGAGCCACATAGTAAGGTAGTGAGTTCCAGGTCAGCTGGGGCTAGAGAAGGACACCTATCTCAAAATAAAAGAATCAAAAGCCTTGAGATAAATAATAAGATTATCTCTATAAAATACAGATGTGGATCTGCAGAAGATCAGTAAATGCAGATGGCTAACTGCTGGAGATATACTCCCTTATAAATATGGCTTGTCTTGGACCAATGTAACATGATGGGTCATGATTTGAGAGCTGGTCCTCAGTCTGAGAATGATAATGTTTCTAGATCTATTCTGTATTTGACATTTAGGGTCTCAAGATACTTGATCCCTGGAACTTTGTGTGATGCAGAACATACATGGCTATCTGAAGACCCAGTTCTTGAGAAAGTTATCTTCAGCGTATTAATCAGCAGGGCTAGGCTGTCTCCAATACTACCCACAGAGGAGGAACACCCACACTCATGCTAACAAATAGCATTGAGAACACCATGTGTACCCACTTCTCCTGGGATCTTTGGAACACATTCGTTTGGCCCCAGGCATCATCACTCATCCCTTCTCCCTATCACCACCTGTAACATTCTGACTAGGTGCTTCATTCCTAAAGAGACTGGCTTAGTTAATGTTTGCTTTTAGTCTCACTGATAGCCTTCTGTTTCAGAAGTTGCTCCTACATAACTGTTCAAGCCATCCAGGCTTGCTTTCTGCACCCAGAGTACTCAACAGTTGTCCCGAATAAGAGGACACACCATTGAGAGTTGGGATGTTGTGTTCAAGGACAACAGCTGCTCACTAGGCGCTGTGAAGTTGGTCACATTCAGGTCATTAATCTCATCCTGTCTTGATTCCTTATCCATAAAGTAGAAGTAATAATATCTGTCACAACTACTGCTTGTGGGTATCATTGCTGAGATAATTGATATGAATACCCTTCTAGGTTCAACAAAGTAAGTTCTCAATTATAATAGCTCACAGCTACTGTGTATATGCCACTTTGAGAACTTTATGAATATTAAGTCATTTAATCCTCATAAAAACCTCATCTTTTTAGTTTAGGAAACGGGGATCCAGAGAAGAACTTGCTCTTGTATATGATTTCCAAGCACTAGAACTGTATGATGTGGCCAACATGAATAGTCACAGAAACCAATTACATGGAGAACAATACACAAGGGTAAGGAAATTTCTAAACTTCCCAGAAATTTTCTAAATAATTAGTGATTTATCTTGTAATAGTTATTCGCTCAGAAACACATATTCACACATAGACACATGAGATGTTTATGAAGCATAAAATATGTGTCAGACATTCTACCACAGTCTAGTGATGGGCAAAGATACATAAAGACAGTGTGAGATGTTATTAGCATACTGTTAGGCCAAAAGGAGACCACTCAGGTAGGCTTGGCAGGGTCAGCATGTTGAGAAAGATGATACTCATCATAACAGATGTCCAGATATGGCCAGGCAGACAGTGGAAGGTAGGAGGAGACAGTTCAGGCAGAGAGAGTCCATGATCAGGATGGAGAGGAATAGACAGAAAGCTGCCAGACCTTGGTTGCTGAACACAAGCCCGTGTGGCTGAAGACATAATCTGACTGTTCACAGATTAATCACAGCCACTTCCTGTTAGAACATAAGCTGTGAAAGGGCAGAGACCTTGTCTGTGGGGACCACTATGAGATCATCAGTGCTTGGTATAAAGTGAATGACCAATAAGTATTTGTGTAATTGTGTACGTGCATGAATGGATGATGGTATGCAGGAAATAAATACTGGTGGAATGGATTAATAAATGAAAAAACAGGACACAAACTCCAAAACCAAGCCTTTAGGTTCCACGTATTGTCTGTGTGTCCCTGTGTGTTGAGGATTTCAGATTTGTTTTCTGGTTAGGTTTCAGACTCTGGAATATCTTCATTTACATGGTGAGAAATCTTAGGGAAGAGAATCAAGACTGAATAGAAAATTCATTTGTTTCACACACACTTTCCACAAATAACTTGATGGTAATCTTACACAGTATTTTTAATGAAACTATGTACAGCCTATCACCGGAGACCAGATATGGATCTTTTAATTCTTGGCATCATATCAGAATTCAAAGAGTCTGAATTTTGGATTTTTAGATTAGGAATGTTCAACTCTACTTGTTCGAAATATAACACAATTAACTTTCCACCACCACATTAACTTAATCTGGATTGTGAGGCATCTTAGATACAATGCATAAGCATCTATACTTGATCTTAAAGACTGGTTCACTGCAAGGCCCAGGCAGGAGAGAGACTTGATCACACAAATAGCATGGAAGAAAATGCACTCTGGTGGGAGACTGCAGAACAGTTGGTGAGAGACCATGATGGGAGAGATTCTGCAGGGGTATGCAACTTCCTCTCGCAAGGAGGCTTAAGTACAAACCACAGGACAGTGAGAGGAAAGCCATTGTTGCAAATTCGGCTTTACCCTCCATCTGCATCATCTCCTTTTTCAGAATCTGGATGACGGTAAACAAATGACATTTGTATAGCTTTAGGGAGACTTTGGAGATAAACAATGGGTGTCTACTGATTGAAAAGCTGGGAGAGTCAAGCTTTAGATTCAATGTTTCTTCAACCTACAGTGCACTCATAAGCTAGTTGCTGTGTTCCCGAGGGCTCAAGTTTTCCTTCTATAAAACAGGTTGAGTGAATGGGCCTGTGGCCCTCTCCTAACCCCTTCCAAGATCATGGATTCTATGACCCTCTGAGGCTATGATGGTCTTTGAAACACACGTGAACTTAGTGACCCTTCGACTTTATATTTTCAAATGCCCTGTGTAGTGAGACTTAGCGTGGAGGGCAGATTACAAGGCAATGTTTGTATTTAGTGTTCTTCGGTGTTTTGGGCTTTTGTGGGAGGAATTGTAACTGCTTACTTGTTGGGAGCTCCATGGAGGTTTGTGAGCAGAGTGAAGTTGTTTCTTACACTTCGCAAGCTGGCGAGAACCTGCAAGGAGAATGTTTCAAAACTGGTTAGGGTCAAAGGACCGCATTTAAAAACCACACTGGTGACAGATTGGGGACGAGGGTGATACGTACATACCTGGGCAAACGGAGTGACAATCAGGTCATCGCCGTGCCTGGTGAAAAGAGAAAAAGAAGCAGAACGGATGAATTTCAATTGTGACACACAAGTTACACTAAAGTTCACCAGTGTCAGAAACCCATCTGCTCCAGCAACCCTTCTGTGTGGAAGGATGGCA